AAGGGGGGGAGGAAGGGGGTAAGGGGGGGAGGAAGGGGGGAAGGGGGGGAGGAAGGGGGTAAGGGAAGACGATTCATGTGCTGCAAGGAAATGAGGAAGGAACTGCCGGAGGGCGCCCAAAGTTTGAACTGCCTAGGGAGTCCTGAGCGATGAAGTCACCGACCCGTGGTTCTGGAAGGGTGGGGGAAAAAGGATGAGGGGATGGATGGAGGAAGGGGAGAAACTTGGGGGGAGGGGAGAGGGGTAAACAGAAACCCACGAAGCAGGAGCATCAATGTACGAACATAACCCCCACCATGCATGCGTAAATTCCGGAGGACCCCCGTAAGGCCCAAGTACGCAAACCGTAAAACCCTTAAACTCTTGCACACGTACGCATATATACGGCACACGTACACCTGTACATCCGTACAGACGTACACGCACAAGCAGATCCATACATACATAAGACGTACCAACATCTCTCTCTATCTATATACATATATATACACACATACAGAAACAAGCCGTCCTCCCCTCCCCTGCTACTAGTAGTGGCGCTCTCACTGGCAGCAGCACTGAAGCTCGTGCCGCCACTCTTGCTGATATGCAGGTACTCCAGCAGCCCCCTCCGAATCACGGACCGGACATGTATGCGGTAAAACTGCACGGGGGGTGGGGAAGGGGGAGGGGGAAAGGGAGGACGTGCGTGGCATACCATCTGGTATATCAGGGAACGTACGGGGGGGATCTTCCCGCCAAATGCCCCAACTTCGACGTCTGACCGTTTCGTGAAAAGAGCGACCGCCCGCCTCCTTACCTCGGATGCGGTTGTAGCCAGCTCCTGCTGCAGCTCATCTTCTAATGGTTTCTGTCCCAACGCCATCCATCGCAGGATGATAGAAGCGAGATAAGCCCTCCGACAGAGGATGGCAACAATTGGATGGCTTTCGGCAAGGTTGTCCAATATCTCAAGGTTCCTAAGCAGTTCATAGATACTGGTGCTCTGCTGGTTAGCGTTGCGAAGTCGCCGCAAAAGATTTACGCTGTCCGTGATGTCCTGAGCGGCTGTGTGCCTCTCAAGGAGCTTCCGCGACTCCTCCGAGACAAAGTTGAGTTGAAATTTGAGGTCTTTGGCAGCGCTGAAGTGCTGTATTTTCTCCAAGAGCAAATCATGGAGAGCGTTCGATGACACAGCCAGAACGAACGCAGCTGCGAGCAATACCCTAAGAATCATTGCTTACAATTCATTTGAAGGACGGTTGGCCAAAAACACGTTCACATCTGCGGCACTGTGGCAGTTGAGTGCCGATGGTGCTCGACAAGCAAGCAAGCACGCGTTTCTATGATAAACGCAATCGCGTTATGGTCCTTCCATGTGCATATCATATGCAGTGCGCATGGAGCTTCAATTGTGTCTGGTAACAAAGCCTAAGCGGTTTGTGTAACGCTGTTTGACCTAGCAGCAGTACTTTGGCTAGTGCGACAGAAACGTGTGAGCGCATTTCTTAGATCCTAACGCGTAACTTAACCTTGACATTTTCACAGAGCTTCCTTTTTTGGAATGGCTTTCTGGACAGCTTCAATAATGCGGTACGCAAAGTGGTCGGATCGCTGGAACGAGCCACCCAACTGCCCACCAACCCTAGATGCGCTTGTTTACCCTGCACGAGGTGACTTACCGCTGCACGATTTGCATGCGCCTGAGCTGTAAAACTGTCACATACACGCGTACTGGCTAGAGCATGAAAGCAGCTTTCCTATGAAAAGGGAAAGCGTTTCCCGCCAAGCCATTTAGTACGCACACAAAAAGTTAACACGAGAACAGCGCAGTTGTGTTCCAGGAGGATAAAAAATACTATCAGAAATTATGAAGGAAGACGGTGCATTTAACTTCATCCAGCTGGAAACTACAAGTCCCAACCTGCGGAGCCAGCGTAAGCCAGTTGATGATGGCACGTAACGTTACGACTACCATATCCACAAATAACAAGCTCATCAACCACACCTGCAGACGCACCATCTTTGCCACGCGGCCTTTCATCACGCGCCGTACGTAAAAGTACGGCGACGTACGGCACGCGTACGACTGCGAATATAAGGGCGTTAGGATCCCATCAAATTCATAAAATGGAACGTTTCATGTGGCCTTCTGGTTGCAAACTGGCTTCTGGAGTACTGCTAGGACGTGCACGTGAAACAATTAAAACATATCCCGTACAGAAGTTGTACGTGAGACCGCCGTAAACGGAATGTATCAATGGCGAATTCCTGCTCTGTGGTTACATGTAGAGCTCAATAAGACCGATTGGACGAATGGGGGCTTTTGGAATCCTTGATGATGGGTGAGATGATGACATCAAATGAAGGTAGGTAGTCGTACATTGCCGTACATTGCCGTACATTATCACTGATCCAGGAACGCCAATACCGCCACCAGCGCATAACCCATCAGGGCAATGGCCACCTGCTTGTGCACAAACGCGGTGGGAGAAGTGAAAGGAGGAAGTGCCGTATACTTCACGTATGCCGACACAGACACACCGACATACATACCGACGCGGCAGACAGTTCCACGGATACGTGGGGTGGGCCATGGCATATGATCATAAGGGTTTTACCTGTGTGTGTACCTGTGTGTGTATGTCTTTGCATACGTATGTATGTATGTATGTATGTATGTATGTATGTATGTATGTATGACGTTGATTACACTGTGGGCTGAAAAGCCGGGGGCCCAGGGCCGAAGCACAGCGCGGGGGGCGGGTGCATACGGCTGGTTAGTCTCATGCACTCCGCCCCCGGGTCAGGCCGCACGGGAAACGACGGCCGGCACGCAACAGCGCTTGTTTGGCGCTCCAACTAGACGGGATCTATGCCCGTTGGTCTCCTAACATAAACGAAGTCGCAACTGGGGGGCTCTTCCTGCCGACCGAACGAACCGAGCATCTCAGAGAGCTCGCTACCAGGACTTGGGCGACCGGGAGCCCGACGAGTCTTCCCGGGCTGGGGAGGTCACCAAGCTCAAAAATCCTCACGCAAAAAAGAGCGCAAAGAGCTCACACCACAAGACGCCAAACAGCCTCCTGAGACTACTACCCTCCTCCGCCTCTCCCTCCCTGGGCTAGTCCAGGGGAGATAGCCCCCGTCGAGGGGGTAACACCGCACAAGTCCGCGCCCTTCCACAGCACTGGGTCTAAATTGAAAAGTACTCAAACGGGAAGACCCTGCGGCAACGCAGGGCGATCAAGCCTCCGGAAACCACAGGGGGGGAGGGTAGCCAGCTCGGCGCCCCCCCAATACCGCTCTACCAAGACGGCTGGTTCCCAAGATCCTATCTTACCAAGACGCCGCACCACGAAAAACCCGGTCTCGTACCCTGAAGAACCTAGTCCTGCACCACGCGCGCACCTTCGAGTACGGCCCCCCCTTCTGGGTGCCCACCTCCCCCTCATCCGCGCCCTCGCTACGGCCACCTGTTTCCACTCACCACTCCTCAACCCTACATCCTCTTGGTGTACTCTCTACCTCTTCCCCTCCCCCCCCGGCTCTCCCCGCCCTTTCCCCGGTCTCCCCCCCCTCCGCCGGTACGGCTCCCCCAGGCAAATAAACCCTCCCTCCCCCATGTCCCCTTGCGCGGCACCCCCCCAAGCCCCATCCCTGATCCCGCCCCCCTCGCAACCTATCCCCTCAACCTCCCTCTCGACCTCCCTACCACCCCCACCACCTCAAAACCCCCCTCCGCGCCTCGACACCCTATCCCCTTATCCCCTAAACTCCAGCTCCCGCCGCGTCCGCTTGACCATTAGGTCGTGATGTCCACCGCCTCCGCGCAGCGCAGTGCTCCC